GGAAAGACGGCACACCCACCAAGGACAGTAGGGCCCCCTTCGATAAAATTAAGAACCACCTCGTCCTCACTGAGTACCCGCGCAACCGGAATTTCCACGACGTATAGGTACTTTCGCAAAAGGGTCTCCCTTGAGAAAGGGGATAGTGTAAGGATAATTCATTACTTCGAGCCCTTGCTTACTGCGTACACGGCTTCTCCCGCAACGGTACCCTAATATTAAAAATTTACCATCTCGCGACACTCGCCTCGACCACTATTCCCGCCACTATTCACATCGCGACCCAACCTCATGGCTCAGCTGGTAACCCCCGCTCCGGTCCTCCGCCTCGACTATTTGTGAGAGAATGAGGAATGAATGAACTAGCAAGCAGGTGGGTACAAGTAGGAAAATCTAGAAATGTTGTACCCCATATAGTCTACACCACTACAGCCTACACTGACTATAGCATATAAGTTTGACACACCCCCATAGGCAAAGTGGGGGAGAACAAGAGGTCAGAAGACCAGTCAAGCAAAGCAAAGCAAGCTCAGGGTGGATCACAACGTCACCACACAATCCGAGCACAAGAGCAAGGCCAAAAGGCCAGTTCACATGCAAGATCATATATAAAGGTAAACAAGCAAGTGCAGGTACAGAAAGATCACAGTACAAGCAAGGTCAAGAAGTGAGCAAGTAAGGCCAAGTAGGCAAAAGACCTAGCAACGTACAGAAGGGCTGATGATCACCAGGCGGAAGTGCCTTGGTAAAGATATCAGCAGTGTTGGCCTCAGAGGCCACGTAAGCAAGGTGCAGCTGACCACGGTGCTGCAGCTCACAAGCAAGGAAGTAGCGAAGAGCAATGTGCTTCGTTCTGTGCTCCAGTCTGTGCTCCCGACACAAGGCCAGCATGGCCTTGTTGTCTACGTACAGGACTAGAGGAGAACGAGGCGGCTCTCCAAGGTCGGTCACCAGGTAGGTGAGCTAGCGAAGCTCTTAAGCAGCCATGGCCCCTGCGTAGATCTCAGCCTCACAACTGGAGCCGAGAACAGAAGACGAGCGAGTAGCCCGCCACGAGACAGAGCCGGAACCAAGGCTAAAGGTGTAACCCTGTGACGACCGCTGCGTAGCCTGGTTGTCAACCCAAGAAGCGTCTGCGTGACCTCTGAGGACCACTCGACGTCGCCCTCCAAGCACTAGCCCCATGCCCGACGTACTGCACAAGTAGCGCAACACCCTCTTCGCTGCAGCCATGTGCTCTGGCCGGTGTCTCCCAGGAGCAACATAGCGTGCCAAGATGCTAAGAGGGTATGCTATGTCAGGTCGAGTGCAGGTCATCAGGTACATGAGGCAGCCAACAAGCTCTGGGTACGGGCCACTCGGCCCTACGGACTCATCCGAAGGCAGAGCTGAGAGCGAGTGGCGAGTAGACAGAGGAGTGGCCTGAGGCGAGGAGTACGTGAAGTCGAAGCGCTGAAGGACCTGGTGCACCATCTGTGACTGAGTCAGGGTAATGGTGCGCTGTGCTCTGTCCCGGGTGATCTGCAAGCCAAGGTAGCTGCGTAGTTCACCAAGGTCTGTGCACGTGTGTCTGTTCTGCAGCTCGGACTTCACGTGGGCGAGTCCAGCAGTGTGAGCAGTGGCAAAGACCAAGTCGACAACGTACACGAGGATGTAGAACGGCGGCAAAGAGGTGTCGGTGCGCAGAAACAGCAACGGGTCGGCTGTAGAAGGAGCAAACCCAAGAGCCGCATGTATAGTCCTCAGTGTGTCATGCCACTCGCGGGGCGCCTGGCGGAAACCGTAGACTGACCGCCGGAGGCTCCACTGGGTACCAGGGGGAAACGACCAAGTGAAGCCAGGTGGGCGGCGCAGCCAGATCTCCTCGTGCAGGCTGCCCTGCAAGAAAGCTGTGCTGAAGTCAAGAGAGTGAAGCTCATAGTTGCGCTGAGCGGCTATGTGCAGCAACACCCGAAGAGTGGTCATCTTCGGGATGGGAGAGAAGGTTTGAATGTAGTCAACTCCCTGCCGGTGATTGAAGTCACGAGCCACGTACCGCGCCTTGAAGACAGGCGGAGAACCGGCCTCTTCACCCTGAAAATCCACATGCCACTGACAATGTTCGCCCCTGGTGGGGGAACCTCGTCGACGTAGGTGCCTGTGGACTTCCAGGAAGCCATCTTTGCGTCCATGGTTGACTGCCACTGAGAGGAGTAGGGACCCTCGATCGCCTCAGTGTACGATCGAGGAGTCGGGATGTCTGTTGCATCCGGGTCTCCCTCAAGGGCAATCAGGGTGGACACGAGATGAGGCAAAGCAGCAGCAAAACACTGGAAATCCTCCTGCCTGTCCTCAAGGACGTCCATGCTAAGAGCACACTCACCCTCGACGGACGGAGGACAGACAGACTCAGACTCAGCAACAAGACTAGCAGCGTAGTCTAGACGACAGCGAGCAGCAAAGTCGACAAGATCAGCAACTAAGGCAAACGCAGCAGTGGACTCAAAGGAAGGGTCAGTGACAACAGTAGCCAGGAGACGCGTGACAGTAAGACTGGCAACACGAAGAGAGTCCGACTCCGAGTTAGCAAGGACAGGAAGAGAGGACTCTGGAGGAGACGGCAACGAGACACGCAGAGGAGCAGTGGAAGGTCGCAGTGCCATCTGGTGTGTGTCGGGGACCGCAGGAGGACGCGGACGTGCAATACAACCACCAGTGCGAGCAGCACGAACAGGCGACGCAGGACGAGACGCAGGCTCACGACGCTCAGCAAGACCTCCAGTAGGACCAGCGTAGGGAGAAGGAGCAGGTAGGGGGGAGGCGGGCTGTAGCTGTGACCGCGACTGGATAGGCTGTGGACACTCTAAGGGAGGAGCAGGACCAGTAGAGGGCGGGAGACCAAGAACCTGCTCAAGGAGCAAAACGAAGTAGGGCCGCGGCTGAGCAGCGTCTCCAGAACCAGCACGGACAGCACCAGTACCCCCAGCGGTAGCACCAGCGCCAGCAGCACCTCCAGCTCCAACACCGCCAACTCCAGCACCCTCAGACGTACCAGCGCCAGCAGCACCACCAGTGCCAACACCCCCAGCAGCTCCAGCTCCTGCAGCTCCAGCAGCTCCAACTCCAGGAGGACCGGTAGCTCCAGTACCGCAAGCAGCTCGAGCAGTACCTCTAGCAGCCCCAGCAGCACCCCCAGTCCCAGTAGCTCCAGAACCGCCAGGGCGACCCCCTCCGGGACCAGCAGCATCAGTAGTACCTCCAACTTCAGCAGCATGGCTCCAGCGCCGGGCAAACCACTCGCGCAGTTCCTACGGAGAGAGTGGCTCCCGCCTCGAAGAAGTACCTCGCGAGGCCACACGAGTATACCCACCACCCCCAGGCTCAGCACCCCGAGACTCAGCACCCCTAGGCTCAGCACCCCCAGGCTCCACACCCCCAAGCTCAGCACCCCCCGGCTCCGCACCCCTGGACTCTGCACCCTCAGGCTCCGCACCCTCAGGCTCATAACCCCCGGACCCGGCACCCGCAAGCTTAGCACCTCTAGCAGCACCAGAGTCAACAGCTAACTCGGCAAGCTCGACTGCGTCTACCTGGGACACACCTGACGGGGCAGGACCCTGAGGGGGGAGGGGGTCTACCGGGGGAGGACCTGGCGCAACGAAGAGTGGCGGCGGGGGGAGGGGCGCAGTGTGGTAGGGGAAGAGACGGTAGTAGGGCACCGACTCGTCAAAGGTGACGTCCTGGGAGGACAGAACACGGCGCGAGGTGGGGTGGTAAAACTGCCACCCAGGCGCGTCAGAAGGGAAGCCAATGAAGACGCAAGGAATAGCACGGGGTGACAGCGTGTCCGCAGACAAGTCGCGAACAAACGCCCGAGATCCCGAGACCCGAAACGCAGACGCATCGCCAACCTTCCCCGTCCACCGCAGGGTGGGGGAGGTCTCTGGCAAGGAGACCCAGGGCTAGAGGTTGAGCTGATGCGCTGCGTACTGAACTGCAAACGACCACGGAAAATGGGGGGCGCCGCATGGATCATGGACGTACGAGCGACGTCCATGACCATGCCAATGCGGCGCTCAGCAATCCCATTTTGCTCTGGAGAGGCCGGAAGCGTGAAGGTGTGGCGGATGCCCTGTGCTCGACAAAAGGCTCCCAGACGGGCAGAGGAAAACTCCGCGCCTCTGTCAGAGTGCAGTCGCAGAACAGGAAAGTCCGAGCCGAAACTCTCTCTGAGCTGGAGACGAGCTGCCCGGATCCAGTCGATCAACATCTCGGTGACGTCACCCTTGCTGCGCAAGGGGAAGAGTGTGGTGTATCGCGAGTAGTCGTCAACCACCAACAGGAAGTAACGCTCGTGCCCCTTGCCGGGGACGCGAGCGGGGCCCCACACGTCCATGTGAAGAGTCTGCAGCGGAGCCTCTGTCGGAGGAAACTCGGAGGAGCGAGGGGCGGCGCGCTGTCGCCCCTCGACGCAGGGGAGGTAGGTAGGGCCAGGCCCCGGAGGTAGAGGAGGGAGAGACCGAGGGAGACCAGAGACAAGGACACGAGTGGCCATGCCTTCGAGACGAGGCAGGGAGGGGTGACCAAGGCGGTGGTGCCAAAGGAGAGTCTGGTGGGACAGGAGACGACACGTGCAGGGACCAGTACCCCCACCGCGCTGACGCACAGCGTACCACTCACGGAGCTGCTGAGGGGACAGGGTCTCACGACAGCGCTGCTGCTACAGGCGCGGACCACCACCGGACGCACTCTTCTGTGCAGAGCCTCGAACAGCTCCGCCGCCGCCGCCACCTCCTCCACCTCCGCCGCCTCCGCTCCCTTCGCCACCACCGCCGCCTCCTCCGCCTCCACTGCTGCCACCGCCGCCTTCACCCCCAGCACCACTCCCACCACCACCCCCACCCCCTCCACTGCCTCCACCACCACCTCCACCGCCCCCGCCAGCCCCTCTTGCGCCCTTGCCCCCTTTGCCCTTGCCGGTGCGGCGTCTCCCGCTAGGGGCCAGACGTAGCGCCGACTCCTTAGAAACCAACGAGGTCAACAGCAGCAGCAGAAGCAACCGAGGGCAAGAGGGGGGAGGGGGAACACCCCTCAAAGACTGGGGTGCGAGGGTCACCACGAGAGGCTCCTACAGGGACTATGCTCTTCACTGCTGCTAGGAGGCGCTCCTCGAGGAGGTCAACGGTGAGTGTGGTGGGGCAAACTGAGAGGAAGTGGTCCCTGACTAGGCGAAGGGAGTCAGGGAGCCGGGTGACTATGTAGTAGAGGGTGATGTACATGGGGGGGGGGTTCTTGGCGCACAACTCAGCAGGAAGCGCAGCGCGGTAGTGAGTGTCACTAGTGCGAAGGTGCGTGATGAGATCAGCGACAGTGGGAAAGGCGGCAAGGTCAGGGAACAGGTACGGCAGCATGAGGCGGCTAAGCGCAGCAGTGGTAGGGGAGGAGTAGCGTGCAACTACAGCGTCGTACAAGGTCTAAGCACTCTTGTACTGGCAAAAGTGCGCACGCTCAATGGTCGGTAAGTGGCGACGCACAGCAAGACGGGCAGCAGCATCGCGTGTGGCCCACTGTGAGCAAACAGTGCTGTCAGCAGTAGCAGGCGGGGCAGGGGAGGCACCAAAGGTGAGATCGAACAGGGAGAGTCCGTCTGCCCTATCGCACTGTAGGAACAGCTGGAGGTCATCGACCCAGACCTCAAAGTCAACAGCATGACCCCCAGTATCAAAGATACGAACACTGGGGGTCGCCATGACTGCAGTGGCCTAACAGGGAGTGATCTCACCTGTCCGAGTAAGTAGGGCCAGGGCGCGCCGGTAGGAACAATAGTGGCTCGACGGCAGGGCGGCTCGACGGCTCGGCTGCTGGGTAGCTCGGCGGCTCGGCTGCTGGGCGGCTCGGCTGTCGGGTGGCTCAGCTGTCGGGCGGCTCGGCTGTCGGGCGGCTCGGCTGTCGGGCGGCTCGGCTGCTGGGCGGCTCGGCGGCTCGGCTGCTGGGCGGCTTGGCGGCTCGGCTGCTGGGCGGCTCGGCTGTCGGGCAGCTTGGCGGCTCGGCTGCTCGGCGGCTCGGCTGCTGGGCGGCTCGGCGGCTGAAGGGGCCACTAGGGGCGGCGACGAGGCCGCGTAGGGAGGGGAGCGGTGACAGGGCCGCGTAGGTAGGGAGGCGGCGACGAGGCCGCTGAGGGCGGCGATGGGGCCGCTAGGGGCGGCAACGGGGCCGCGGAGGGGCGGCGACAGGGCCGCGTAGGGGCGGCGATAGGGCCGCGTAGGTAGGGAGGCGGCGACGGGGCCGCTAGGGGCGGTGACGGGGCCGCTTAGGGGCGGCGACGGGGCCGCTAGGGGCGGCGACGGGGCCGCGTAGGTAGGGAGGCGGCGACGGGGTCGCTAGGGGCGGGGACGGGGCCGCTAGAGGCAGCGACGGAGCCGTGTAGGGGCGGCGACGGGGCTGCGTAAGGGCGGCGACGGGGCCGCGTAGGTAGGGAAGCGGCGGCAGGGCCGCTAGGGGCGGCGACGGGGCCGCATAGGGGCGGCGACGGGGCCGCTTAGGGGCGGCGACGGGGCCGCGTAGGGGCGGCGACGGGGCCACTTAGGGGCGGCGACGGGGCCGCGTAGGTGGAGAGGCGGCGACGGGGCCGCTAGGGGCGGCAACGGGGCCGCTAGGGGCGGCGACGGGGCCGCTAGGGGGCGGCGACGGGGCCGCTAGGGGCGGCTACAGGGCCGCGTAGGGGCGGCGACGGGGCCTTAGGGGCCGCGAGGGGCGGCACGGGGGGCCGTGGGAGGGGCCTCTAAGGGACCTCGACGGAAGGGCGGCCCACAGGGCGCGCCTTGGGCAGCAGCGAATGGTGCTCCGGTCAGAAAAGATATTTCAGTGGTGGGCCCAAGGAAGCGTTCCCACTAGGGAACCTGCTCTATACCATGTGAGAGAATGAGGAATAAATGAACTAGCAAGCAGGTGGGTACAAGTAGGAAAACCTAGAAATGTTGTACCCCATATAGTCTACCCCACTACAGCCTACACAGACTATAGCATATAAGTTAGACACTATTTCCAACCTCGGAGCCAGGCCCGACGCGCACCCACATTCCGCTCGTATTTGTTACCGCGCTAGCCGCTATTTAACATTCGCTCATGCCTTCGCTCATTATGCTGTTGTTGCTCCAAGAGTGCACTCTTAGTTTGCTTACTCAATTGGACATGTAAAAGCTTGCTGTTCATGGAGCATCTATCAAAGAATAGCAGTCTCGTATGACAGAATTCGCCCCGGTTCCATCCACGAACGCCTCGCATGTATATTTTGGAAAAGATTATACTGGGGCTGAACAGTGCCAGAGGGGTGATCGACCAGGGGCCGAGAGGCTCGGAACTAACCAAATCGCTACGCAAAGAGGGATTAACCAGATGATAATCGTTTTGTGCACGTATTTCTGTTATTAGTTCCTTGTACCGGCTCGCATTTTTGCTCACGTGCCATTTAGCAAGGCGAATCTACCGGGAATCCTAAGTGCAGCAAACAAAATAAAACCCTTGGTGAACCTGGATGCATTTTGGCGATGGATCAACCCTAAAAACGGGAACCTTCCTTGCATTTAGGGTAGATGCCTCCCGAGTCACATACGTTCATGAATGGGTTATGTATTTTTTCCCTTCGCATTTCCGATCAGGTGGGCGATATGTATCACCAAAAATATAACAAGCCATGTACTCACAATTTATCACGCTGAAGTTTACTTCCAGAAGAATGAGACGTGCTTGTTGTAGTAAATGGCGGTCAGCACCCTCAACAGATACAAACGAACAATCAATTTGGTTCTTAAAGTATTTATCTTTTACTTACGGTTCGGCTTGTTCTCCAAGTCGTTTGGGCAGCTCCGGGTTAAATCCTACGATCGGGATTTACCGGCCCTGCTTTGGTCATCTCTCTGGCACTGTTCGGCCCCTTTTTGATAATTTCCCTGTATTTTTCGCGAGGGCCTCAATTGTGCAGAATTATGATCCCAGCAGACGCCCCGCAACTCCCGCTCGCAAGGGCGATAATTGCTGCACAGCTGAAACTGCAGTCTCAAATTCACTGACGGCGAATCAGCGGTGCTGGGCCAAGCGAGCCCATCCCTTGAGGTCCCGGCCATCCGCGTCAGTCATAGGCAGGAGAGGGCGGCGAGGCGTTACGTTTCAAAGCCGAAACATTTGCGAGACTGGAATCGCGGAGAGCATCCACCGCCGTGCTCTGCGGCGAGCGGCTCGAGCAAATGGCGCCAAATGATGGTGCAGCGAGCGACGATTATTCAACTTTCCAGGGGGGCCTGCGGTTGCGGCGACGGGCACAGCAGGCCCGTGCGTCCATAGGCATCCATCTCACGCGTGTTGTGCGAATGCTCAGAATTCGGCGAACCGCTTTCGTGGCTAGTAGTCCTCGCGAGTCCTCGCTTCCGCTCGCTTTCGCGTTCCTCTCTTGCTTCATTATTCCCGCTTACATGCTTCGTCGCACCGATTCTTCACGAAACAACACGCGAATCACACAAGAGCCGCGGCACCTTATTCGGCGACAACACCACGGTGGAGAAACTCGGCGCGAAGCTGCGGTCTCCTTGTGGCGAGCAATCAGTCCTTGCGACACAGCGTCAAGAGCTTCAGGAGCTGGAAGAGCTTCAGAGTAGCAGGCGCACTGAAGGGTCAGCCCCACCGCCTGGCACTCCTGCATCCGCGCTGCTCTCCGTCGCTACGGCCCGTGACATCGACCCGCCATGCTGCGCCCATGGAGCGGCGGCGGCGGCGGCGTGGGTGGCACGAGGGGCGTGCCGTGGGCGCGGGTGGCGGTGGTAGTGCTGGTGTGGCTGGGCGCGGCGATGCAAGTGTCGCTCGCTGCGCCCACCACCATCAACGACGCCGACGGTGCGCTCTTCTCCCCTCGCTCCCCCTCTCCCTCCCTCTCTCGCTCTCCGCCTCTCGCTCTCCGCCTCTCGCTCCCCCTTCCCCTCCCTCTCCCGCATCCCCTCCCCGCTCGTGCTCCCTTCCATTCCATTCCATTCCTCGCACCTCAGAACGACCTGGGCGCGGCCCACCTTCCTGTGGCGCGTATGGAACCGCCGTAGCCATGTGCCATGAAGCTGCACGATGTCTCATGGTGCGTGCTGTGCTGTGCTGTGCTGTGCTGTGCTGTGCTGTGCTGTGCTGTGCTGTGCTGTGCTGTGTGCCTGAGTGGGCGTGCAGGCAGCGTGCTGCAGGAGTGCCAGGCAGCGTGGGGAGTGACGATGGACGGGTGGAAAGCGGGGAGTGACTGCGATCTGGCCGCGCACACACTCGAATGCAGCGCGGAGGGCAGGGTGCTGGGCATGTGAGTCCCCTTGCGCTCTTTCAGGCGTCTCACTGCCAGAGTGCAACGGGGACGGCTGAGGGCAGGGTCCTGGGTACGGGAGTGAGGCGCCGTGCTGCGCACTGGGAGGCGCCCCCACTGTCAAGTCTACTACGAGCCCGACACGAGCCGTCCTAGCTCCCCCCCCTCTCACAACCGCCTTCCATGCTGCTCTCTCCACTTACCCCCCACAAGCCAACCCCCCACGTCACCTCACTGTTCTCACGCATCCTCATTCCCCCCCCTCGCCTTCCCCCATGCGCGCATCATCGATCGGCTGGTCAGCGCGCCCCAAGCCACCTTCATGCGCCCTGCATGTTCTTCCTTTCAATTCGTTTCGCATGAAGTGCACTGCACTCCGATTTCCAACATTTCCACGTGCTAATTCCCAAGTTGCTTGCAGCCCCATACGTACCGTTCCAACCAAGGGCACCAGCATTGCACTCTCATGCGGCATGTGTTATTCGTTTCCACACGCCAACTTTCCCCTGTTCCCTTTTTAACCCCCCCCTCCCCCCCCCCCCCCCCCCCTTGTCCTCCACTCGTCCCCGGGCCATGCGGCATGGAGAGCAGCAACGTGCGCAACAGGAACCTCACAGGGTCGCTGCCAGCGTCCATCGGCAACCTTGCTCACCTCACCATGCTGTACGCCCCTGCACGCCACTGCTTTCCCGTTCACCCCTCTGCTACGCCCCTGCTGCACGCCACTGCTTTCCCGTTCACCCCTCTGCTACGCCCCTGCACGCCACTGCTTTCCCCTGCACCCTTTTGCTTCGCCCCTGCACCCTTATCCTCCCCGTCCTTGACTCTTCAACGCTCAACCCTTCACGTATCCGCTCCCATCCTGTTTTATCCTTCTGTCCCACCCTCACCTCCTCTCTTCCCTATTCTCCTCATCTCCCGTTTCTCACCTCTCTCCCTGTGTGGGCCGCTGTGCAGCGATATAAGCCGCAACAACATCAGTGGGCCCATCCCTGACTCCATCAGCCAGCTCAAGGCTCTTGCTTATTTGTCAGTGCTGGAGCAGGCGTGGGTGGGAACGGGATGGGGGGAGTACAGGGAAGGGGTGGGGGAGGAGAGGAAGGGGATGGTCATGCGGCGTCCACTGTTGAAAGCGTGAGATACGATAGGCCAGCAGAGAGATGCACACAACATGCCATACCATACAACCTGTCCCTTTCGCCACCACAAGGCGTGCATCGTGGCATTCCGCTCCCCATATTGTTATAGCCCCCACACAATGCTCGCTCGCAACCCTCACTCTTGCCCGCTTCCGCTCAACCCTCCCCGCCCCTCCCTGCCTGCCCCATCCCCACCCCTCCCCGTCTTTCCCTGCCCCTCCCACGGACCTGGCACACACCACACCACACCACGCTACACCAGGAACATGGCGTACAACCAGCTGAGCGGACCCATCCCCACTGGCGTAGGCCAGCTGCTCAAGCTCTCTGTCCTGTCAGTCTCTACCTCCCTCTCCCACTCCCTTCCACTCCTTCAATCAACTCATCTCAATCCCTTCCTCTCCCTTCGCACCCGTTTCCACCCCTTTCCCACTCCTTCCTACTCCTTCCCACGCACTCTTACTCCCTCCCACTCCCCTCCTTCCCTTCCACTCCGTCCCTCCCACTCCTCACTCCCTCACTCCTCACTCCTTCCCCTGCTATCCTAGCCCCTCGTCGTCAACCAGCCCTTCTTATGCATGCCCTCGTGCCTGCCCATGTGCGTGCCCACACCAACCAGCTCCGCAGCAGCATCAAGGTTTAAGGTGCTCAATGCACGACCGCTGAACCCTGCCCGTCTCCCCCTTGCCTTGCCTTTCCACCTCTCTGCCCCTGTGCCCCTCTGCTCCCGTGCCTCTTGCCCCTGTGTGTGTGGGTGGGTGGCAGGCGGGTGCGGCACAACCAGCTCAACGGCACCATCCCTGACTGCATCTCCCACTGCTCGCTGCTCCAATCGCTGTCAGTCACACGCCATGCCATGCCAGGCGCCCACCTCCTCACACTCACTCGCAAAGCGACCCAGTCCATTCGCCTATCGCGTACACTAAGTTCCAATCGATCGGGGCTCTGCACCACTTTACTGTTTGACGCGTTTCCACGCTCCCCCTCGCTCAATTTCTCCCCCCGTCCTCTCCTCATGCCACCCCTTCCCTCCCTCCATCCGCTGTCTGTCCCCACTGCGCCCGTGCCTCCCTCCCTGCACTGCACCTGCTGTCTCCCTCAATCGTCTGGCAGGCACGTGAGCATCAACCAGCTCACCGGCTCGCTTCCAGAAACCCTAGGCCAGCTTTCTAAGCTAAAGAAATTGTGCGTCCCTACATGCCCTCTCACCTCCTCCTCGTCCTACCCCCTCCCCTCCCCTTATATCTCTCCGTCTCCCGTCATCTTTCTCTGACGCCCTCCCCTTCCTCCTCCCCGTCTCTCTCAGTCCATGGGCCATTCAGTCTGCAGTACCACTCACAGTCAATCTCTCTTCCCACCACGCACTCCATCCAAGCCATGGTGTTTTCAAACGAAATCATCCCTTCCATCCACCACCTCCCACTCGTTCCCACTGTCTGCCCCATTCCATGCGCCCCTGATTTCCCTTCACTCACGCCTCTGACCTGTCCCTCTCTCTATGTCTCCCCCCGGGTGTGCATGTGTGGTGTCCTGCGCGCATGGGAGCAGGTGGGCGCACAACAACAGCCTCACAGGCGGCATTCCCCAGTCCCTCAGTCAACTCTCGTTCCTGCAAGACCTGTACGTGCCACCACAGCACCTCCACAGCACACCACCGCACCACACTCCCCATCTGCACCCCTCCTCCTCCCTCACCCTCCTCGCTCAGCCTTTCCACACACTCTCTGCTCCCCCCCCCCCCCCTCGCTCACCCCTCTCACTCACCTCCTTCACTCCCCCACATCATTCTACTCCCCACTTTTCCTCTTCACCCCCCTTCCCAATCCACCCTCCCAACTCACTTGCACGCACCTCGTCGGGCGCCCGTGTGTGTGTGCAGTGCGCTTGCCTACTCAACCCCTTAGTGCTCACTGCTGTGGCTCATCACTTTCTCTCAAGTTCCTCTCCCCTTCAAATCCCTGCTCCTAAACCCATCCTTCCCCTGCTAACCCCATCCCACTCCTTCTCCCCCTCCTCTCCCCCACCTCCTGTCCCCCACCGCTGGGCCTCGCGTGACTGCGCGGCAGGAATCTGGGCAACAACAACCTCACGGGCACCATCCCTGCACCGGTCTTCACGCTCACCATGCTCACATCGCTGTCAGTGCCTCTCTGCTTCATGAGCTTTTCTTTCTCTGTGGGGTGTGTGCAGGTTTGTGTATGCGAGCGCGTTGGGTGTGTGCGAGTGTGTGGGTGTTTGTGGGTGCAATGATGTGTGGGTGTGGGCAAGCAAGCCTATGTGCAAGGGGCCATGCTGGTTCTTTTGACTGCGTCTCCCTCTCCCACCACACACCATGTTCTTCTCCTCCTCCCCTCCTCCCCCCATCACTGCCTCCCCACCTCGCTGCCTGCCGTCTCCCCTGTCCCCACACCGTCTCCCATGCATGGGAGCATGTCGCTGGACAACACCCCCCCCCTCACCCCCCCCCTTCCTCACTGCGTGCCCCTCTCACGGCGTGCCACACGTGTGTGCGTGCATGGCATGGGAGCAGGTCGCTGGACAACAACAACCTCACGGGCTCGCTGCCAGACGCCCTCACGCAGCTGCAAGAGATCAAGAAACTGTGAGGAAGAGGGCGCCAGAGCCACACACATTCTTTTTTCTTCCATAGTAAAACGGCTCGTGAGAGAGAGTTAGCCGTGAGCCCTATCCTCCCTCTCCTTAGATCATACGCTGTTCTTTCCATAATCATTTCCAAGAACCACTACTAAAAGGCAGCATTTTTTCCCACTTCGCTATCCATTATGCACTCTTCCTTCCCCCCCCTCCGCCCTCCCACACCCATGGCACGCGCAGCAACCTAGGGGGGAACCATTTAGAGGGCACCATCCCAAATGCCATCAATAAACTCACCAACCTTGAACATCTGTGAGTCAGCACAGGCTAGACGTGAGTCAGCAACACTTGAATCCACGCTAGCAGCATCCACCTCTAACACGTGCTTAGGTAACACCACACTCCCTTACTTCCCCTCCTCGCCTCTCTGCCTTGCGTGTTTCGCTGCCCTTCCTATCACAACCTA